CCTCTCTCTCCAGCTTTACTGGACACCAGTTATCTCTTGACCTCTCAGCTCTGGCCACACTGGCCTTCTTGAAAATCCTCATGGACATTAGGCCCACCCTGCTGGAGTTGTTTCCTATTCTTTTCCCTCCCTCTCACTTTTAACTACTGAACACACACTCTTTCTACAGATCTCCACTCAAGCTTCCCAGCAAACCTTTTCTGAGCTGCCTGCATAGGGCCACTCTTACCCACAGTCTAAGTTTGCAAGGCAACATCCACATCCCCTTCAATGCAATTTACATAGTTTGGGATTTTTTTATGTGGTTATTTGATTAATGTTTATTTCCCCCTGGAGATTACAAGCCTCCAGGAAGGCAATGACCCTGACTGTTTTTACTCAGTGCATTGCACAAAGCTTGACACATGGAAAGTTCTCAATAAATAATGGAAGAATGAAAGAGAAATGCTATTTGATACAAGTGTGAGGTAGATATTCTACAAGATGACCACAATTCCCTCATCCCTGCTACTCCTCCATGGAGTGGTGAGTCTATGTCCCCTTCTCTCGAACCTAGATGGCTTTGTCACTTGCTTGGACCACAGGATGAAGTGAAAGTGACATCGCCTAGCTGTTAAAAGGTCTGGCAGCTTCTGTCTTTGCTATCTTGGAAGAGAACTGGCATTCTGTAAGAAAGTCGGTCTAGACCACGGGAGGAAGAGAGTGTGGCACCGAGACTGACAGCAAGCTCTGGCAGGCTGTGCCCTGACTCACTCCTGACTCATGGAATCATGAGCCATAAAATGGTTGCTGCCTTAAACCATTAAGTTTCAGGGCGGTTTGTGGTGCAGCAAGAGTAACCGAAAAACTGGACTTCTATCTTAAAATCATAATGGCTATCAGATTCTCTTCACACTATTATCTCTAAAAGGTCAACCTTTTTGGTAACAATCAGGGGCCTTTGTGCCTGCAGCAAAGCAACATTAACCTTTGGTTATCTTGGGTAGCCACAAAGAATCAGTATCATTACGTTAGCATCATACTTGCCCCTTTTTCCTTGATGTGTTTCACATATAACCTCTGAAATTTTGCTATGTATTTATTTGTACAGTTTTTTCAGGCTCCATTAGGGCAGGGATGTGTCTTGGTCTCCAGTGATTGTCTAGCTGCCTGGCACAGAGTAGATGTTCAATAAATTTTTGCTGAATGAATTGAATGTTCCCACCTGATAACCCCATTGCCAGTTCTACCTTCCCCAAACAACCCACTTAGAATGCATTCTCGCTCCCCACCACTGTGCTGTCTCTTGTCCTTTTCTCACATAATTCTCAAATATGCTATGTCCACATGAGCCCCATCTCAGCCCACCGCTGCATCCTTTGATTTAGAGATAATAGCAATGCCTTAGGTCCAATGATTATGCCAAATTTTGTACTCAAATAAGATAATGGGTGTAGAATATACATGTTCAATCAGTGTTGTATCCCTTCATCTCTTTTTTCTGATGGTCTCTCTTCCTCAGATCTCCAAGTGTATTTACCCTTCATAAAAACATCCTTATGCTGACGTTCGTTAGTAATGTTCTGTTAGTCATATGAATTCTGATAAAGTTAACATTTATTGCCATCTAGCCTGTGTGTCAGGCACTGTGATAAGCACTATGCTGGCCAGCTGACATGTATAGTGTCCCCCGTTCTATGAAAAAGACAGCCTAGGTTTGAATCTCAGGTCAACCTGCTTTTTTCCTCTCCAACTCACTGTCTCTGGGACTAGTGAGTTATAGACAAAAGGATGAAATAGGCAAAGACAATGCACACATCAGGCCCTGGAGAGACATTTTATCTTGTTTCATATGTTGAAGGCTAATGCCTTTGTATTCTGTCTGTTCATCTCCACAATCAAAACCTGTTTTGAAAAACATTCACTCTATGGTATAAATGACTGATTAACAACCTTAAATGTGATACCAACCCTCCCCAAGGGGTTCTGAATTTTAATCAAACATTTACGATGCAAAAAGAAACAAGGCTAGCAAGATTTAGACTTGGGAGCAGGCAAGCCAGATCCTACCTGCCATCACACTATTCAATCAGCAACAAGCCCACCTTTGGTAAGGAGGAGAGAAGCATGGGGGCAGTAAGGAGGCAAAGTCTTCTCACAAAATACAGGAGGGATGTGCAGTGTTAAAATTGAGTGGTACTTCCCTGGTAAGTCTGGTGGGTTGCTACTGCACATGGTGCTTCACCTCTCAGTTCTGTATACCACACTCATCTTGACCCCTGCTTTCAGCTCCTAATCCCACTGCTCTCCAGCAGTCTAGAGCAGACTGATAACCTCTTCCTCCCGAGAGAGTACTTGTCATGCTTAAGAGCTCATGTCCCTTGTGGAAGCTAATATAATGGCATATTTATCTTCTGTTTCCCTTCTGCATGAAAAAATGTACATAAAATAGTTAATAAAAATAAGTAACATCCCACTGATGGCCCAACAGAAGTAATGTTGCCTCCCTTAAACTCCTGCGCAATGTTGGTGCCTTTGGAAGATTCCACAGTGAGTGCCAGACATAATCGTTATATTCTTCAGCACCTTATAATACCACTTTGAGGACTAATCTTATAAACTTACAATAATTGTTCACAATTTCTCTCCTTAACTAGATTGTGAGGTCACTGAGGACAGGGAGTGTATCTTTTCATCTTTTTATTCTCACTGTCTAACACAGTGCCGGGTACTTACTACCCAGTCAATAAATGCTGGAAGAAATGGTCTGTGACTCATTTGGTGTCAAGAGGAACCTGTGGATCACAGATGGGTGGGTTTAGGGATCTTTCGCCCTACGGAACTGCCTAGTAGGACACTGTTAACTACATGTTTTCCATTTCCATCTTGTTGGCCCACCCTAATTAAGATTTAAAGGAAACCCCACTGATTCCAAATGCTGTTTTACCACAACTCCCTTTCACCATTAAATCCTCACCCCAACATTACTAACTCCCTGAGAGACCAGTTCCAAGAGGGAGGCTATAACTAGAAACAAGAGTCCACCTTCCTCTAGAGGACATCAGGACCCAACCCATTAGTCCTCATATCCCTGTTTAGCTCAGTCACCACCAGAGTCCCAGGCTGCCAAGTCACCTATCATCACCTAGACCATCCACCATCTGACTCTGTATGTCCCCTAATCTGATCCAGTTTTCTAACCCTTCACAGACTTGTTTAGTGAGTGGATGAATGAATAAACATACAAACTTCAGGAGAGAGTAAAGGATGGGATGCAGGGAGGTGGATAAAGAGGCAGTGGCCCAGGGAAAGAATGTTATTCAAATAAATTCAAGGCTGTGCTATAATTCCAGGAGCAGGGTAAGCAATAAAGAGCAGGCACAATGGAAGCCCAGCTAGTGGACTGAGAAAGACCTCCCAAGCAGCACTGCTGAATAGAAATGTGTGCAATGATGGAAATGTTCTCTGTCTCTGTGGTGTAAAAGAGTAGCCACTAGCCACGCATGGCTAGTAAGCATTTGAAAGGTGGCTAGTGGATTGAAGAACTGAATATAAATTTTATTTAATTTTAATTAACTTTACTTTGCATTTAAATAGCCACATGTGGCTAGTGGCTATGATATCAGACAGTGCAGCTCTAGAGCCTGAAGAATGCCTTCTTTCCACTTGTGATTTCAGGTTGCTGACACTTACCTCACCGAGTTGTTGAGAGGACTAATGAAACAAAGTGCCTGGTAAAACGTGTGGAACATAGTTAACACTCAAAAAATAATAGCTGCTATTATTGTACAGAGCTGCAAATTAAAATAGTTTAACTACAGGTCATTTTACTTTGGCTCTAAGGCATTGGAAACCGACTTTTATTCATTTTTATCGTTACCTTTTGCTTCCTGTAGTTAGTGGATAACCAATGTGTGGGTCTATATTTGAGCTCACAAACTAAAAATAGCAAACATCCATTTTAGGACTCATTGAAGTCTTTCAGAGGTAGATGACTATTCCAAGTGGATGGGTTTGCTGATACTCCTAATGAGCTAATTAGCTTTGACAATGCTAATTTAGCATATGTAAAAATTGGATTTGTAACATTATTGTATTATTTTCAAACGGTGGCATCTGCAACTTTCTGAATGATTCTGGGTAAGAGTAGTGTTTCTTTGAATACTTACTATTCAAATAAAGGAATAAGTATCTACTTATTGGAAATATGATGATTTCTTTAAGGCTTAAATCGGTTTGGACATAAAATTATTATTTTTCCCTGTTAGTGGCTCACCATACTTTCTTCCAATTGAATCCAGAAAATAAAATTAATATCTTGATATACAGGATAAGCAGATCATACCTAACGCTTACCAGATAATCTAATCTAATGTTACACGTTTGTCCAGAATAAGCATGCTGATTATTTTCAGGTCAAGAGAATTTCCAATTCATAGCAGAGGTTAAAGTGTCATCCCACAGTCCCTGCCTAAGTGCACGGTGAAAGACTTGAAAACCAAACCAAACCATTGCTATCCAGTCAATTCCGACTCATAGCAACCCTATAGGGCAGGGTAGAACTGCCCCATGGAGTTGCCAAGGCTGTAAATCTTTTAGGAAGCAGACTGCCACATCTTTCTCCTGAGGAGCCCTGGGTGGGATAGAACCACCACCCTTTCGGTTGGCAGCCGAGCGCTTAACCACTGCGCCACCAGGGCTCCTTTGAAAGAGGGCAGATGTATTTAAATTCAACACAACGCTGAAGGCATTAAGAAAAGTCGACATTCTTATTGAGGAGACCAATTAATCTGCATCAGCTGGAAGCCACTTTACAGTATTCGAAAAAGTGCCCTAGGACAATATAAATGAGAGAATTCAAATCCACGTTTTTACAAGGGAGCCTTTCCAAACTGCCCTGGTAAGCTCTGCTGTTTGAAATGCAGATCCTTCGTCTTCTACCCCTGTCTGTGATCTGGGGTAGCAGAAGGGGAAGAGGATGAAGACCCTAAGAACGAAGATGAGGTGTTGCAAAGACTTACCAATTGGCATCACTAAGAAAAAAGGCAGCCAGCAGAGGACGAAGCAGCCGACCACGATGCCCAGCGTTTTGGCCGCCTTCTTCTCCCGGGAAAACTTGAGGAGCCTCACCGAGAAGTGCGTCTTATTCTTGGCGCTGGATGCTCCTCTGCTCCCTGTGGGGGCATTTTTCCGATGGATGCGGAGAGTCACCTGCTCGGAGTCTGACTTGTCAGTCTTGAGGCCAGACTTGAGGCCTCGACTCTCCCTCTTGGCCACCACGTAGACTCGGCAGTACATGACCAGGATAATGGCCAGCGGGACGTAGAAGGAGCCCAGAGCCGAGAACAACACGTAGCCTGGCTCTTCCGTGATCTGGCATATGGTCTCGTCTTCGGGGGCTGGCTGCCTCCAGCCGAACAAAGGCCCTATGGAGATGACCAGGGAGAACGCCCAGACGCAGAGCAGAGCCATGACACCCCTCCTCTGGGTCACGATGGTGGGGTATCGCAGCGGGTAGCTCACGCCAATGTAGCGGTCAATGGAGATGATGCAGAGTCCCATGATGGACGCAGTGCAGCACAGGACGTCCACAGCCGCCCAGATATTGCAAAAGACCCTGCCAAAGGCCCAGTAGCCCAGGATCTCGAAGATCGCAGAGAAGGGCAGCACCGTGGAAGTGAGCAGAAGGTCGGCCACGGCTAGGTTGACGATGTAGTAGTGAGTGACCGAGTGCAGATGCCGGTGGCAGGCCACGGAGAGGATCACTAGGATGTTTCCCAGCACCCCGAAAATGATGAGGCCCGCTAAGATCACCCCAAGCAGGATGGCCTTGGAAATGTTCACCGGTGCGGGCGGGTGAGTGCAGTTGGAGCTGTCGGAGGCATTTCCGGAGAGAAACACCATGGTCCCAGGCAGTGCCAGACCAGGTCCGGCTCTTGAAGGCCACCCCCGGGCTGGGGCGGAGGCCAGAGCGAGAGAGCAGAGTCAAAAGATCTCGGCACTGGGGAGTCCTGTCCGCTGGGTTTGGCTGGGGGTGAGAGAGAAAGCGCGGGTGGGAGGCAACCCCAGGCAGCCCTGGAAACCCTCAGAAGGCAAGGTAAAAGGGCAAGGCATTAAAGATGACATGGCCAGGGACGGGCGGGTTTGCCCGCGGACCCTCCGCACCAGCTGCGCTGGGCCAGGGTCCCAACTCCCTTCCTACCCGAGGTTTGGCGCAAAGCTCAAGGAAACGCGTTGTAAATACGCAATCAGAGAATTACAGGAGTCGGCTTTTCTGCACTGTCTGATCCGTCCCAGTGGGGAGAACATTCAGCATTCTGTGCACAGTTTGGAATTCAAAAATCCAGCGCCAGTCTCCCCCCAAACCAGAGGCAAGGCCGGGTCTGCCGTCGAAGTTCAAAGACCGGGACTTTTGGCATCTGGGCGCTGCTCCCCGCCCACATTCACCGATAGTCTGGCTGCCCTGCCACTGAAGAGGATGAGGAATGGGCTCGTGCTAGATCCAGATTTTAGGCGAACGGACTGAGGCTCGTGGCTGTGAAATGTTTGCCAAGATCGAGGCGGCTGCTGAGCGTCGTTTGCCCTCTTCCTCCTGAAACAGCCCAAAGTGAAAGGCTCCTGTGAGCCAGGCGCCCTGAGGGTGGCCTTGCCCAGCTCGACGGGCGGTCGGACCCAGGCTGGGAGTCCGGCGGACTCTGCGGTGGGGAGCGGCTTCGCCCGGCTCCTGTGGAGGAGACCTGGGAGAAGGAGCGTCGAACCCTTCCCCCTCCCGCGCCCTAGAGACTGGGAACCTGCCTTCGCACGCTCCGCGGAGCTTCCTCTGGCCGGGTTCTAGATCCGAACGAAACAGATACCCCTACAGCTGCTGCGCTCTGCTGCCTGATTCCGAGCTCCAGTACCGCGAAATTAAAACCGCCGAAGCCCCCGCTGTGGGACGCGGCTGGCATGTGTGTCACGCAGAGCCGGAGGAATCTGGAGGATCTATCGGGTTACCCTTTGGACAGGTTGCATCCCTGTCACCTGGAGGGGGCGGCCTGGGAGAAGAAACCGCTGCGACCCGGGGACCGCAGGGACAGTGCCTTGCGCACGCTCACGCCCGAGAAATTTACACTTAGGCTCTGCGAAGCGCGCCAGTCTGTGGACAAGCCAAGCGGGCCTTAGAGCCAGGTCCCAAGCAAAGTCTGGCAGGTCTCCAGGGCTGAACGCGACCCCAGGTTGGCCCAGGACTCCTTTCCAAGCCACAGGGTCAGCAGCCCCCACAGGACTATAGCCGAGATGCCCCACCTGGGCTCCTGGAAAGACGCGGGGGTGGGGGTGGGGGTGGGCATCCCTGTGCAGAAGGGCCTTTGTAAGTGGTACTCACTGCGGGTTTTGTAGGCATAAAAATCAAACCGGCGAGCCATCGGACCCGGACTTTGCAGATTTTCTGAGCTGGGGCCACAGTCTGCGTAAGAACCCTGTTTCCACAACTGCAAACCGACCGCAGGGAATCGGGCTGGAGCGGGGTGAGCAAGGGACGTGTTTACCTTGCCTTCTAAAGATTCTGGGTTTGGTCCCTGAGGCGGAAGCCCCGGCAAATGTTACTAAACAAAACCAAACCCGCTGCCGTCGAGTCGATTCCGACTCTTACGGACCCTATAGGACACAGTAGAACTGCACCATAGGATTTGCAAGCAGCAACTAGTGTATTCGAACTGCCGACCTTTGGTTAGCAGCCGTATCTCTTAACCACTGAGCCACCAAAGCTCCCCAAACCTCCCAGATTGTCCTAAAAACAAGCAACTAGAGAAATACGTTTTCCCCTACCTGGAGTGGTAAATAAGGAGTTAAAAAGACACTTGTTAACTAGGAGACAACTTCACAGAATATACGGGAGAACCAGGTGGGAGGAAGAGTGTTGGTATAAAAATGGGTGAAAAAAGAGGGGGGGCTTGGGGAAAGTGGGGGTTCTGGCTCACCTGGAGGCCGGGGGAGATCTGTCCTCACCCACCTGGCTCTGCTTTATGTCTACACCCCGCTCCCAGCTTTGCCGCTCACTCACCTGGAGAGCCGATACGGAGCCCCACAGCCAGCGGTCTGGTGGGAGCAGACAGGGCTTCGGTCCCAAGAACTGCTCTGCCACCTCCTCTATGGGGAGAGGAAAACAGGCGACCGTCTCTCCGTAGAACCAAACCCTGGTCCTTTTGCACCAGCTGACTCACCCCTCCACCACGGATGTCTTTAAGCTCCTGTTTCGCTATCTCTTTACCTGGACATTTTAAAATAAAGAATGAAAATAGGAAGAAAAAAAATACAGCCAACCAATAACTCCTCAATCACCCTTTTAATATTCAGCTTTCAGACACCAGCAAAGAACCGCAAGGAACTTTGCAGCTCTCGCTGACGTAACACTGGCGGCAATAGTCCCAGCTAGTACCGTAATCTCCTGGTGTTACCGTATTTCTCTGCCTCAACGAACACCGGTGCCTACTACCGTATATTTTTCTTTTTTCTCCTGCCAGAGTGGGATGGGTCCTCGCTTTCCTTATAAAAGGGGGTGGGGGTGGGGGGTTGGTAGTAAATTACGTCCTTAAATGGTCTGATTTTGAAAATATAGAAAAATTAACATCCTGGCAGAACAGATACTGTATGGTGTGTTCAAAGAAATGTCTGGTAAAAGTAGTTTGAACAGATTGATTCCATTAACACTTGGACTATGTTCTGTTAAAATCAATAAAAAGCAAATTGTTATGCCAAATATATAGGTAAATTATATTATTTGCAAATGTTTTAAGAAGGAATTAAAGTCAATAAAATTCAATAAACCTGATCGCAATAAAATTACAATTCCAGCAACATTAAGTGAGCGTATCTAAGTCTTATTAAATATAATCCATTTCCCACTTATTTAAACAAATGCATTAAAGGACATTATAGTCCCTCTGCAGTTTCGTATATGAGTTAGTATTTTTAAAGTGCCACGTGTTCTTTTTCACTTCTCATAAGAAAATTTATCCTTTAGAGAGTGTTGCTTCTCTTGAATTATCTTTAATTCATTAATAGCTGAAGTCTTAAACGCTTAAATAGCCAGTCTTATTTGCATTTTTTCTAGTAAATTCCATGTCTATCAAATAATTGAATAAAGCCTGTGAGTTTCCATTTGGGAAAATACTGGAATTTTTTTCCAATCTGATTCCCACCTTCTAAGTCATCTTTCATTTCTATTTCTTCAAATAAAATGCACTGTTCTTTTTTTCAAATATTTACTACCCCCCAATAAAGCAGAAACATACTGGGTAAGGAGATAGGTAACCTGGATTCTTCTAGCTCTAGCTTTCACTGTTCTCTCTGACATTCAGTTTCCTTAGGTGGAGGCTGGAGTACAATTCCCTGTGAATCCTACACCTTATCATTTAATATGTATGGAATGTCTGGTCTTCAGAAATCCAATCAACCAGAGGGATATATCGTTGTTTAGTTTCATATTCATTAACCTTAGGCCATGAATCTGAGTTCTCCATTAAGATCTGTTCCCTGGTAGATAAAGGAAGTAGTATTATCACCAAGAAATGCAACTGAAAATTGCTCAGCTCTGCAAGGTCAAAATTTACAAAGGTCTTTGAAACTCCCAGTTTCTCCACCCACGCCACCCCCTAAACACAAACATGCACACAAATCCCTCCATCTCTCAGTACTTAATGGGTCAGTGCCAAGATTAGGAAAAATGGGCTCTTCATTTTTTGCTTGGTTTCGTTTATGCTATCAGGTTGTTAGTTGCCATAGAATAGATTCTAGCTCATGGCAACCTGTGTTTGCAGAGTAAAACTTCTCCATAGGGTTTTCAAGGCAGTGACCTTTAGGCAAGCAGATCGCCAGGCCTATCTCCCGCAGCTCCTATGAGTGGGTTTGAACCACCTTTCCACTAGTAGTCAAGAGATTTTAAATCTGCTTCTCTGCCTGTGAACACCAGTTTTTGCAGAACTAACTTTCAGAACCAACTTTTTGGTTGTTACCTACAGATTCATAAACAGAAAGTTCTCCATCTGTTGGCTATTTTTTGAAGAATGGTTGGCATGGATGTCCCAGAAGATGTCTGAGTTAGAGACATGGGTAGGTGGAGTGAAGAGAGTAGGCTGTGGAGTCACAAAGATGCTGTCCCTTCCCTGCAATGTGATCATGGCCAACCTCAGCTCTTCTGAGTCTTGGTTTTCTAATTTTTAAAGGGAGACAATGAAACTCTACAGGGTTGTTACTGGGACCAGATGAAATTTTATCTCTCAAGAATGTAGCTTATGATGCTTATGAGCCCTTTCCGTTTCTGATCTTTTTGTGTATTACTTAAAAGTGAAACACACATCTAACCCAGAGTAGTCCAAATCCCACATGTAACACAGATAAATTCAGCCAGAAACATGTGCTAAATGACCTGAGAATTATACTTGGGCCTAATGGTGCAATCAGAGTGAGTCAAGCTGTACCCAACTTGGCAGAGTAGGGAGAGTTGGCCCTGGCCACTGAGCGCTCCTCCTTTTCTTCCCACTTCTCCCTTGCCCTGCATCTTGAGGGGTCATGAAAATGTATGGGAACACCTCAGCCCATGCATCCAGACTTGGCCTTGGCCTTGGGCCTCAGGGTGTACTTCTATGATGTGGTCTGCCCTTAAGAGGATGGACCCAGAACAAAGGTCCCTAGTCCTGAAAGTTGCATGTGGCCATTTGGAGCAGAGAATTCTGAGACCCAGAGCATGGTTTAGAAGGGGGGTGGTGGGGGTTGTAGGATCCAAATGGGCATCTCACCTTAGTCCCATGGACCCTTCGCCCAGTGAGGAGGGCGATGGCCAGAAGGAGTCAGCTGTACTCTCTAAAGCCTGAAACCCAAGGCAGAGGCCCCTTTTGCCTAGGTCAGATGTGTTACTTTGTACACTTTAGGTATGATGGAAGTTGAGGAATCCACCGAAGGGGGGCATCCAGGAAGGTTCATGGGATGATATTGCTTGACTTAACACTTGAAGGATAAGCAAGATCAATCCAGATGAGTAGGCAAATGTGAAGAACGAGAATCAACGGCAGTACACAGTAGAGTGGTGTGTGTTCAGAAACAGTGGAGGGACCGGTCTGATTGCACAAGAAAGGCCAGGCAATCATTGACTTACACCACATATCTTTGATTGGTAGGACTCTGTTAGTGACCAGCAAGAAGATCAACAAGGCTGGGAGGTTTTGAGGGAAAAAACAAACAAAATTTGTCAATCTTTCTCTTAGAAAACAATGCACAATGGAATTGGGACCTGTTTTCTGGGTTTTATGATTCCAAGTGACAGAGTAGAGGACTTAATGTTAGTATCCACCAAAAAGACCT